TCTACCGATTGGGAGCATATATATAGTAAAGAGAACTGGTCCCAGAACTGATCCCTGTGGTACTCCACAGGTAACCCTGGAGCAGATTAACAGCTGTTTCGCTCTACCCGTCAGTTAACCTGGTTCATAACTGGTTAATGATGCATAGATCAGGTGACCAGGTTAATCTAAACTAACCTATCGCTGCATTTTAGCCAACTTGTGAAGGACGGCTGTTTCATTCAACTTCTTATGCCTCCTCCTAAGTTTTATTTGTTGTCCTGTTGCAGTTGCAGAAATGTTTGATATCTTTTAAACCACCAGATTATCTTGGCATAGATATTTGACAGTGTTGTTTATCCAGCTGTTTTTTTCTGTTAATTGAGGCATCTCTTTGCCCCCACAGGTATTACGCTGCACTGAAAACCATGGAGCAGCTAGAGAAGGTCTATATTCCAAGGTAAGGAAGTCAGTGAGACGAGGTTCCACCAACGATTTGTTCCTGCTGAGGACCTCATCAGCCTGATATCAGGCAGATGATTGAAAAGCTCTCCCTGCCTGGGAAGTTGGTTGTGAATTAATGGCAGCTATTGGAATAGGAGTCGTTAATTCCCCCCTCCCCCCATCCACCAGGGTCAGCCATTACAGGTTCTGTCAAATCATGGCAGAAAATCTGCCAAGACTGAGGGAGGAAATCAAAGACATCTCCATGTCAGACCTAAAGGACTTCCTAGAAAGCATCCGAAAGCATTCAGACAAGGTTGGAGAGACGGCGATGAGGCAGGTAAGACCGTCCCTTTAAGAGCGCCTCCACAGGGGGACGTGAGGAGCTCCCTGTTCAGTGTGTTTATGCTCCATCTGCCCAGGCCCAGCAGCACAGAACCTTTAACAGCGCCGTGGCAAAGCAGCTCCACATCGGCCACTACAGCAAGCCTGTTTACTCCCTGAGCCGACACACAAACACGCACCTCTCCAACGGCCTCTGGAGCAACGACGACACTGGAGACGACGAGGACGCCGATGAAGAAGTGAGGACAAATATGTCCTTGTCTGTTTAGCTTGAAATCATTTCTGTTCTCTGACAACGTCGATGTCAGATCAAATGAAAGTTCTCATGGAGTGTTTGAACAGCTGCTGCCTTAATGAACCAGTAAATCTGATAAATAAATTCTCCTGCTTCTCCTCTGTGTCTTCTAGATCCTCACAGCTCAGGACCTGGTGGACTTCTCTCCTGTCTACAGGTGTCTCCACATCTACTCTGTGCTGGTAGGTGTTCCTGCTGCTAATGCAGCCGCTGAATGTAGAGTTGGGTTTCTCAGTCATGGTTAAAGGGATTGAAAATGAAAACAAACTTCTGTGGCTGCAGGTCAGTTGTTAGAGATACTGGGACAAGTCATGTTTAACCTCTTATAGTTCTGAAGCCTCTAATCCATCGTGGAGGAAGGTTTCCAGTCACTGATTAGTAGCGGACTGAATCGAGTCATTGGTCTGGTTGAACTGTAAAGTGCCTTGAGATGACTTGCATTGTGAATTGGCGCTATATAAATAACTGAATTGAAATGAATTTATTTGGTAGCAGATTGAATTGAGTCATTGATTGGTAGCGGACTGAAAGACCTTCTGCCCCCTGGTAACAGAAGGTTCCTGGTAGGAATCCATCAGTTTAATCCCAGACTAACCGTTTCTTTCTATAAACAGCTCCATGCCTCCTCAGGTCAGTGAACTGGGTTTTTATCACTGAAAGCTCTCTGTCCTTCTCCTCCATCATTACTAACTTTACCCGTTCTGCCTATTTTCTTTGACTAAACATCTTCTTCTTACATTTTCTTTCAAAATTCTCGCTCCTGTTCTGTTCCGCAGCCTCGTCGCCTCCTGCATCCATTACTGCAGCTCCCTCAGAAATCTCTCCATTAGCTCCAGTTGGTCCAGAACTCAGCGGCTCGTTTCATCACCAAACTCCTCATTTAATCCCCTTCGTCCTTCAGGAGCTTCGCTGGCCCCCTGTAGCTTCAGAGTCCAGTTCAAATTTCTCCTCTTTACATTCAAGGTCCTCAATGATCCTGCTCCTCCAGTCATCTCAGCTCTCCTTTAGGTTGTTGCCACACCTCAGACCTCTGATTTTTCCATTTGTATTTTGAAAGATGAGCAGCAGAATGAATCAGTTCAGACTAAATAAGGAACTAAGTTTCCAGTGGTCTTCATAAAAATCATACCTTTATTAGAAGCTGTTATCTGTGGGGATCTTGGTAAAGAGTTATTGTTGTATTATTAAAACGCTGCGTTCTAACATCCACCCCTTTAGTCTGTTCCTAAAGATATTTTGTTTGCAGGGCGACAGAGAAACATTTGAGAACTACTACAGGAAGCAGAGGAAGAAACAGGCCCGCCTGGTTCTGCAGCCACAGGCTAACATGGTGAGGATCCTACATGTTTCTACCTTCTTGTCCTGGAATAACAGTCGTACTGCAGAGATGGGCAGCAACTGAAATGTTTTTTGTTTACTCTGTGTTTAGCATGAAACGGTGGAAGGCTACAGAAGATACTTCAACCAGATTGTGGGGTAAGACCTGCCTTTCTGTTGGCTTTGCTTCTGGGTGGGCTGGTGAGTTCTGGAAAGTGCAGACCTATGTTTGTCTCCAGGTTCTTTGTGGTAGAAGATCACATCCTCCATGCCACAAGGGGGCTGGTGACCCGAGCTTTCACTGATGAACTGTGGAACATGGCCCTGTCCAAGATCATCGCCGTGCTCCGCACACACTCTGTAGGTTTCATACTCTTTAGGTCTCGCACTGTCTGTAGGTCTCTCACACTCTGTAGGTTTCTCACTGTCTGTAGGTCTCTCACTCTGTAGGTCTCACACTCTGTAGGTCTCTCACACTCTGTAGGTCTCTCACTGTCTGTAGGTCTCTCACTCTGTAGGTCTCACACTCTGTAGGTCTC